AGTGTTTCTTTGATGCAGGCTTCCAAGAATTTTAGTTGTCCGAGGTCCTCATACGTCACAGATCTATTTTCTGAAAAATTATGACACATTGTTTCTGGATATATATGTATGTACACATATATATTTTTTTAAAGCTACATACCTTCCCCTAAAACTTCGTCGACTTCCTTTTGAACTTTCGCTTGAATTTCTGGATTGGTACCCATCAAGTGCAAAAACCAATTCATGCTTGTTGAAGTTGAATCGTGTGCCTAAAGTGTTTTCAAGCTTATTTTCAATGAGGAATAAAGGGAGAGTTCTGCGTAATTGTTGGATAACAAAATAAAAAATTACCTCGAAAGTGAATGTGTCCACTTCTTCCTGTACACCTTCCATAGGTAACTCACCCTTAGCATTTAAATCGAGCATGAAATCCAGAAACGCCATACGTCGTTTGCCTGAAAATGAAAATTTGGGTCATACTGATTAATAAACAGCTTACAGAATCATACTCGGCAATAAGCTCATCGTACCTGATAGTGTTTCTTTCTCCATTAGGCTATTGACACCACCAGCTTCATCGACTAATCTCTTACGATTTGCTATTGCCTATAGAATTAATTTAATTTTATAAAGGCAAAAACCAGAGCTTCTCAAAACTTTTCACAATATTGGTATTTGAATAAGTCGCATAACGGGAAGTCATGTTTTTAAGCAAAAGAACTTAGATAACGCCGTCAAATTACCGCGCCAGTGAATTCGTGAAGTATTTCAGTGCATTTGCTCTCATCTTTCCCGCTGCCAAATATATTATAAATGGTGTCGAAGTAAAAATGTGCCTTCAGTGTTCGCTGGTGAATCATATATTTTATCCTTAAATCTATGTTTTTTCATTCATTTTTAATTTTAGGAATGAAATAGTACTTAACCTATTAAAATCATGACAAAATAATTCTACAAAGAGTGTGAGACGTTGGAATTGAAAGCATTTTCTTTCAAATAATTTAAATAAACAAACTTGCAAACAGCATCCAAGTAGGGAGACGATTTGTTCTGGGCATCGACATGTGTACCGAGAGCAGCTTCGCAGATAATATCCAATGTACACAGCGATATCATATGAAATATATCGTTGTACTGATTACCACACAAAGTGTGGAATTTTTGTAGCAGTGTTTGTCCGTGCTTATTATACACCTAAAGATCGGAGAGCAGTAATTATATAAAATTTCGCGCTATAACTCTGTGTTAATAGAAATTTGTAGAGAGAACATATACTATTAAAATCAGTCTCAATTTACAAAGCCTCCAGTAAAGTGTTTTAACTTACACCAACAAAATCTTTCAATATGTCATAGTGAAATGTCGGTGTAAGAAGTTTTCGTCGCGATCGCCACTTTTTTGGCTCGCTGAAATAATCAAGAATCAGAGATAACAATAAATGACAACTAAAATATGAAAAAATAAGAAGCAAATAAAACTAATTGATCTCCGCCTAATTAATTAGTTAAATTTGATTCCTAAGTTAATCTTTTGCACATTGAACAAAGTCGACAGTGAGTATAGTAAGGTGAAAATAAAAACAGTCCTTTTTTTCGTAAAAGTCAACTCAAGGTAATCGTTATCACTCGCGCCAATATTGAATAGCTTAGTCACAATCGACCTGTTCAAAAACACTTCCTAGCTACTCTTCATTGTCAAATTCGAAAGTAGAACTGTGTCGAGAAGTCTAGAGCTTTCTAAATATTCTCGTCACTTATGAGAATTTTTACATTTTTATTTAAAAACAGTTTATATGATTGATCATTTTCAAAGCTAGGAAATATTCGAGAAAACACGACCTGATCAGTAGCCCTTGTCCAATCCATCCACTTAAAAAGCCATATTGAAATGGTTTGTCTAAGATTTTATTACTTCCAAGAATAGCTTCGCACTCGTCTGCTCCGTACAGTAAAATCCATGGACAGGGACCGAACCAAATACGACACATGCGCTCACCGCGTGCTTGTAACATATATGCTATACCCTGAGCTTGTTCGAAGAATTCTGTAATATACTTTCATTTTTGATATTTTAGTATAAAATAATTTGTTGGAACAAAAAATGTTGCAGTTCTCTCTAAAACTTTATGGCCTCTGTTATTTGCTTTCTTCTCAATTAGTACATTTTCTCCCTCTTCAATTTCATATCTAATTTCTTCTCTAACAGGTGATATTTCCAACGCTTCTATAACTTTCACCAATTTTCTCACTGCACTTTGAAAATTACAATGAAGAAATAATTGATTAAGAATTTTACTCTTAAAAACTTGCCCAATTTATAGAGTTTGGATCTAATTTTAAATTCGAACCAATTTAAATAAGGAGAATTAATTGGTTCTTTTGTTCAAATTTAATGTCATATGCATGTAATTACTGCAAGAAGTTAGTTTTTATTGCCAAACTAATTGATCTAATTTTAGAGCCAACTTTTCAAATAGCAACGACATGAAAAAAGTTGAAATATGTACCATCTGGTTTGAAATGAAACTGGTGTAGATTGCCTATAAGTGGCCAAGTTGGTGGTCCCTGTACCGCATTAATTTGCTTCAGTATAGTTCTGAGTTTTTTAATGACGAAGTGAATGATCCAAACGAGTACCAATGTGATCAGTGAAGCACTTACTAATCCCATCGTCGTACTCTGGAAAACATAGTTAATTTGGAAAAAGTAAAATTTTACAAACAAACAGACATGTAAGAAAACTCCAAAAAAGAAATTTACATTTTTTAAATCCTTTTTCTCTTTGTGTAGTAGATGTTAAACTTAAAAATTGCACAACAATTTTATTCTCATATGGTTTTGTTAATGATGGGGAAGAAATGAAGAAGGCTAGAATTTTGAGATATTAAAAATTTTGTTCTAAGCTGTCGATAGTTCTTGTTCAAGGAAACTTTAATCATTGTTTTACATTTTTTATTTCTTGTAATTATGATTGCAATCACTCAGGAGTTGCAGTAACTCAGTTTTTGATCAGAATATATGTGATGATGATCATTTATCTTTGTTTTACATATTATATTATCACGAACTTCCTTCTCAACTGTGTAAAAAAAATTTTCTCTCAATATTTAAAGAATTGTCACTTTGGTCATAGGAAAAATCTGCTCGATCGTGTTTGCACTAACATAAATTGAACTTCAGCTGCTTAACAAAGCTGTGCATTATTTTCTACACACAAAATGCAGTTGGCGTAAGTCAGGTCATGGTGAAGCAAGCAGAAGCAAAAGCTTTTTGATGCACTTGTAGTCAAAAATCCGAATGTCCAAAATCGAATTGAAATAATGAAATAAGAAAATATACTGATAGATAAATTTCTGAAATTCGAAATGTAAACTCTGGTACATATTCTATTTAAAATCAAATTCTTTCTTTCTTGGACAATTTAACTTACTAAACACAGTTTTCTAGAAAAATCAATGAGACCAAATTACTTTTCTGAAAGACTGATCAAAACCCCATTTTTGACTACTAAGATCAGAGAGAAATAAGTTTAATTACGAAATGTTTAATGAACCGACGAAAGCAACACAGAATTATAAGAGTCGGACATTTGTTTGCAGAGGTATTTCGTTAAATTTATTACACTGATCAAAAGAACGAGTTTCCCTGTTGATTTGCCGCAAAGACAAAAACCAAATGATAACACTGTGATTCTTTGAATGACATGGACTGAAGTTTAAAAAACTATTCCTTGCACAACAAAAGTATAAAATGAGCAAATGAAAGTTGATTTAAGAGAAGAGGACAACAAGAAAATTATCAAACAGTTCAAACAACTGATAAAGTGGATTAAACAAATTATCATTTAGCTTACAAATTAATTAGTTAATACAACTAATTCCTGATCTTGCTTTCATTTACCATAACCTTCGTACTTAATAACTCATTAAGCTAAGTTCGAGCTAAGTTCAATATGATTTACTTTTGTACTAAAGGAACTGATTTTTTAAATTGATGATTCTCAATCATCTGCCATGAAATTAAGAGAATTTAATTTGTAATTAAAAATATATTGTGAAAGTGCTTAGAAGCATTTCAGCACAATCAAAAACAGATGTTTCAGTTTATCGAAATTATAAGGTAAGATGAAGAAATCATTTTTCGTACAACACGTCAGTTATTTGAGAAGTAATTCAGTTATGAAGTGATAAATAATTCATTTAAGAAACTAGGGTATTACAATTTACTAAATCACTGAGTACCTAATTAATTTAAAATGGATATTATAGCAGACGTATAAAATTTTCCAATTTTTCATAGGAATCAATTATCTTGCAATAATCTTTTAATCTTTCAGTAAGTTTTTCAATAATCAAAATCATTTCAAAAAAAAATTTCAAATACTTATCAAAGGAATGGATATGTTCTCACTATGATCATTATACTACTGATGACGATGTTGTCATTACATAGACTATTCCGAATATACTACTCTATCGTTGTTGATTTATCCCCTTATTCCTGATCTGCTAGTGAACGTTCGCACTGCAATCATTTTTTTATATACTGTCAATATAAAATGAAAATGGTGCGCTCATTGCGGGATCATGCACTGCATCTAGAGCGGGTAATGTCATCTACTTCTTCTTTTCTTCAGTGATTAGTGTCTTTTCGGAAGCATTCACCGCGATTTGCAAACTGAAATAGTAAGTTTGTGAGTATTTGATACTTTTTGCTGATAAGAACCTCATAGTGATAAGTGAGAAGCAATAAAATGCTAGTGACCATAAATCATATTTCTTTTCTCCAATTTTCTGACTGCATTTTTATCCTCGATTCGATTAAAACAAATGTTCGTTCGTAGTCCGGTCTGACTTGTATGTCAGGTTAGTGCAGAACTTGGATAATCTATTCCCAGAAAGAACGGAGAGCAAGATGTAGCACGCAGTGATAATTAGTGCTATGATGTTCATGATTTCTTATACTACTTTCATTTTTTCCAGTATTTCATAGATGGCTGGAACATCAGAAAAAAAAGAAATGACAACTAGATCTTTCGAGCAGAAGCAAGAACAGAGGACTTCTGAAGAAATGGTTAGGATTTGTGCACATAGGCAAACGGGAGCGATTTCAGATCAAAAGCAAAAAAGAGAGACCGGAACTATTTTCCAGAAGCAAGAAGTAATAATTAGAAGTAGTACTCAGAAGCAAAAAAAAAAAACGGTAATATCTTCATTGCAGGAGGCTAGTGCTTCCACGAAGAAGGGAGAGGAACTATCTGGGACTGCTTACCAGGAGATAACTGTGATGTCAGGACAAAAACCGGAAAAAGGAGATTTAAATCCTGAGCAAAAACATAAAGCTACAATTTCAGTGCAGAAAGAAGAAAAAGTAGCTGGATATTCTATGCAAAAGCAAGAAGAAGCAGTTAGAATTTCCGCACTAGAAAAAAGAGGAAGTATTATAAAGAAAAAAGACAGAAAAATTAGAACTTCCGATCAGAGGAAAGAAGCAACTAGTGAGACTATCAGACGGGAAAAGCAAGGAACAGCTGAAACTTCAGATCAGCAACAAGGACTGAGAGCTGGAACTTCATGTCAAAAACAAAAAGGAATAGTAAGAACTCCTGCGCACAGACAAGAAAAGACGATCGGAATTCTGACACGAAAACAAGATTCTGTGCAGAAACAAGAAACCGTAACTAAAACTTTAATACAAAAAAAAGAAAGAGTACCTGAAGTTGATGCTCAGAAGCAAGAATTAGCAACCAGGATTCCGAAAGAGAAGAAAAAAGGGATACCTACAACTTCGGTCAAGAGCCAAGAAAGTGCCACTCGGACTCTGGGGCAAAAGCAAGAAAGAATAACTGAAACTCCAGTTCATAAGGAAGGAAGAATACCTATACAAAAACAGGAAAGGACAACTGGAACCCCGGTGCAGAAGCAAGGAGGAACTCCAATGCAGGAAAGGGTAGCTGCGCAGAAGCAGCGAAAAGCGACTATGACCCTGGTGCAAAAGCAAGGAGGAACAACTGAAACTCTGACGCAGAAGCAAACAACAATTGGAATTGTAGATCAGAAGCAGGAAGAAACAACATTTCAAACTCCAGTGCAGAAGAAACAAACAGCACTCCGAACTCCAGTACAGAAGGAAAGAGCATCACTCGAAACTCCTGTGCAGAAGGAAGAAACATCACTCGGAACTCCGGTGCAGAAGGAAGAAACATCACTCGGAACTCCGGTGCAGAAGGAAGAAACATCACTCGGAACTCCGGTGCAGAAGGAAGAAACATCACTCGGAACTCCAGTACAGGAGGAAGAAACATCACTCGGAACTCCGGTGCAGAAGGAAGAAACATCACTCGGAACTCCGGTGCAGAAGGAAGAAACATCACTCGGAACTCCGGTGCAGAAGGAAGAAACATCACTCGGAACTCCAATACAGAAGGAAGAAACATCACTCGAAACTCCGGTGCAGAAGGAAGAAACATCATTCGGAACTCCAATACAGAAGGAAGAAATATCACTCGAAACTCCGGTGCAGAAGGAAGAAACATCACTCGAAACTCCGGTACAGAAGGAAGAAACATCATTCGGAACTCCAATACAGAAGGAAGAAACATCACTCGAAACTCCGGTGCAGAAGGAAGAAACATCATTCGGAACTCCAATACAGAAGGAAGAAACATCACTCGAAACTCCGGTGCAGAAGGAAGAAACATCACTCGAAACTCCGGTGCAGAAGGAAGAAACATCACTCGAAACTCCGGTGCAGAAGGAAGAAATATCATTCGGAACTCCGGTGCAGAAGGAAGAAACATCACTCGAAACTCCGGTGCAGAAGGAAGAAATATCATTCGGAACTCCGGTGCAGAAGGAAGAAACATCACTCGAAACTCCGGTGCAGAAGGAAGAAATATCATTCGGAACTCCGGTGCAGAAGGAAGAAACATCACTCGAAACTCCGGTGCAGAAGGAAGAAACATCACTCGGAACTCCAGTACAGGAGGAAGAAACATCACTCGAAACTCCGGTGCAGAAGGAAGAAACATCATTCGGAACTCCGGTACAGGAGGAAGGAACATCATTCGGAACTCCAATGCAGAAGGAAGAAACATCACTCGAAACTCCGGTGCAGAAGGAAGAAACATCACTCGGAACTCCGGTACAGAAGGAAGAAACATCACTCGAAACTCCGGTGCAGAAGGAAGAAACATCACTCGAAACTCCGGTGCAGAAGGAAGAAACATCACTCGAAACTCCGGTGCAGAAGGAAGAAACATCACTCGGAACTCCGGTGCAGAAGGAAGAAACATCTGAGACTCCTGCACAGATACAAGGAGCAACTAAAAATGCTGCGGAAATGCAAGAATCAGATGAAAAACTTCCGGATAGCTCAAAAAATAAGAAATTTAAAAGAGTGTCTACCGCAGGTCTATTGCAAATTGAACAGACCGTGAGTTACGTACAACAGGAAGCACAGTTAATGCAAACCGAAATGCAAATTATAGAAGGTCTTGGTGGACATCTTCATAATCAAGTTCCTCAACAATATGGATCTGTTCCTGTTGTTCCATTTCCGCAACAAACTGGGATACAAATTGTAGAAGCTCCTGTGTATAGACCGCTTTCCGCCCCGCCATATCTAGTACAACCTGAAATGCAAATGGTAGAGACTCGTGCAGGACCGCTATACAGCCAAGTTCCACAACAGTATGAGCCGGTGCCTTTCCAATCATATTCAGCACAACCCGAAATGCAAATGGTAGAGACTCGTGCAGGACCGCTATACAGCCAAGTTCTACAGCCACAACAATATGGACCTTTTCCTGTCATACCGCAATTCCCTCATCCTGTCCCTAATTTATCTGTACAGCCAGTGGCAAGGATTCCCGCACAGCCGTTACCCAGTCAAGTCGTACCGCAATTTCCTCAGGCAGTTCCTGGAATGCCTACTCAGCCAATAACAGGAACAGGGCCATTACCTGGTCAAGTCGTACCGCAATTTCCTCAGGCAGTTCCTGGAATGCCTACACAGCCAATAACAGGAACAGGGCCATTACCTGGTCAAGTCGTACCGCAATTTCCTCAGGCAGTTCCTGGAATGCCTACACAGCCAATGACAGGGACAGGGCCATTACCTGGTCAAGTCGTACCGCAATTTCCTCAGGCAGTTCCTGGAATGCCTACACAGCCAATGACAGGAACAGGGCCATTACCTGGTCAAGTCGTACCGCAATTTCCTCAGGCAGTTCCTGGAATGCCTACACAGCCAATGACAGGAACAGGGCCATTACCTGGTCAAGTCGTACCGCAATTTCCTCAGGCAGTTCCTGGAATGCCTACACAGCCAATGACAGGAACAGGGCCATTACCTGGTCAAGTCGTACCGCAATTTCCTCAGGCAGTTCCTGGAATGCCTACACAACCAATAACAGGAACAGGGCCATTACATGGTCAAGTATCGAAATTCTCCCAGCCAGTTCCTGGATTACCTGCACAGCCCATGGCAAGAATTTCTGAATCTGGTCAAGTTTTACAGCAATTTGATGCATCTCATTCAGGGCAGTTTCAGGCAGCAACCAGACCATTTATTCCGGTTTCGGGATATGCTCAATGTAACTTCCAGACATCATCATCTAGAACATTTCCTGAAAGTGATGCGCAGCAGTTTCTTGATCAAATCCAACATCAAAGTAATGGTTCCAGAAAGCAAGAGCACAAGCAGCATGATTATAAGGTTGATGGGCTTGTGGTTACCGAGGTAACTCTCCAGTTGTGTGAACCGACAATCACTCTCTCTGTAGCGCGCGATAAGCCAACAGATCCAAAAATAGATCCTGAAAAGAAGAATGGAACAGAAAAAAAAACAGAGAGGGAGCTAACAACCCATGTCGAGTTCATTTATGGTCAGAATTCTATGATGCGAGTTGAAGTACCCGGAACAGAAGGTACCTGGCAGCAACCGAAAATCAAGCTATGGCCACGTTCTAGGAAGCATCGCCGAGACAAATTGGTGATTAGACACCAAGCTCAAATGATTGAAGAACTTTTTCTACACGGACCATCTGATTTGGTTAGTGATTAAATGTGTTTTACACTTTTATTCATTTTGCGCAGTCTAAAAATGTACAAAAATGTTTATTATTTAATTATGAACATTGTTTCCGTTAGTTTTGTCAGAACTTTGATCGAATTATATTCGAATTATATATTTACTTTTACAGTACATATGACTAATTTACTTTTGTTCATATTTACGACATCAAATTTTCATTTTTCTCTTCAGTTATGAAATTGTGCCATCAAACAATTTATGTTTACAGAAGAATTCAGCAGTGGGATGTTCAGATGAAAAATTAGAGGCATCTTTGGAAAATATGCCACAGAAAGTTTTGATTAAAATTTTCGAACTTATCGCTAAAGAGCAAAATGTTAGTTCAGGTGTTCTTTGAAATATTGATCTATATGCTCTTCGATAAAGCAACACAGAAAACTACCGTTTGCATGAATGGATGATGTGTGTGCAAATAGCATTATATTACTGTGTCCCATTCCGTGGATACTTATGAAACAGTGATCAAATCTCAAATGATGAATGAATGCAGCGATTGTTAGTTAATCTGACTGAGAAGGCTCTTCTTGAATGAACATATTGTCTAAAAAGAATTAAATTTGGTCTTATTGCCGAATTTAAACGTCGCTTCAGTAAGATTGGTATACAGTTTTGAGAGTTAATGCGTAAAAGTTGCAACAACATAAACATCATGTTTACAAATGATTTTAATGTTATCGACTTCGATGACAATATATCATGTAATACTAAGATTAATCTTTTAGAATAATCCAAACATCAGCGTTTATAATATGTATCGATTAAAATTGGTATGCAGACGATTTAACGATGTGTTGGAAAACAATACGAAGGTATTACCACGATATGAAGTTTGTGGACTTCGGATACAGGTAAGCCCGCTTGTCCAATTCTTCACAGAGAATTTTCCTCAGAAATTGATTTATGAAAACTTTCTGATCCCGTCTTTAATTGCTTTTTTTTTAAATTAAAGGCGAGTTTTTCCGCATAATTCTTATGCTGCATTGTAATCTTACACCTATTCGGTAACAATTCGGTTACAAGGATCAGTAGTTACTTACCCAACTGCTATAAATTTTAGTCAAAAAAAGTAGGCCCCCTTGGCTACTTTGCAATGGTTTATCGTTACGGTACAGGTGCTTTCGAACCTCCATGCGCTTGTTTGGATTTAACTGATATTCCATCATTCTTGAGGTGAGCTAATGTAAATTTTAGCAACATCGTTTAAACTCCATGGAATTGTCATAATCATAACGCTGGTTCTATTAAACAATGCTGAGCAGTGAAGGACTTTAGTTTGTACTGGGAATTAATAGAAACAAAAAATCAAAAATTCTTCACTCATGTTGTTTATTTTAGGCATGACATAATAAATGGCTTTATATACATAGATAAAATGGAACTTACAGATAGGCTCTTCATAACGTTGAATGAACTGACTTATGCTGAAAATGTAAGTTAAAGAACAAAAAAAAAAATGAGGAATTCATAAGTCGCAGAATGTAACGTTGCTTATTTCTTAGATTACAAAAGGAATTGAGATATTTAGAATAGCATATTTGGCAATTATTGAAACTGCGAAATTAGAATGAAATATAAATAACTTATATCTTTTGTACTAGAAATATAAATAACTTATATCTTTTGTACTAGAAATATAAATGATTTATATCTTTTGTATTATCCTTTTTTACTCTTTGTATTTATAGTCGTAATTATAGTTATAGCCGTCAGTGGGAGCTTATTCATTACTGGACAAGTAAAACGCATAAAGTCGATATAATTGCATATTCAAAAAGAAGTTTGAAATTTTGTACTTTATTCTTTCCATGAATCTTTTAAGGTACAAAAAATAGTCTTTTCTAAAATTAATTCGGTCAATCTTACTCCTGAAAGTGGAATTTGCACATTTTTGGATAAGTTTCCCAACTTGTTGGATCTGTGGTTCTTCGGTTATTATGAAGAGAGTGAACTTGGCCTTGATCATAGTCAAGTGGTGATGCAGATGCAGAGAAGGTACGCACATGTTCTACAGTTCCTCTATTATTAGCTATAGCTACATTACATCTTATTTCCTTGCAAAAGCGAATTTAACTTGTTTAGTGAGCGTGGAAATGGAATTCTTACGCGAAAAGATATGGAAAGTATGATAGAACGATTGAAATACAAAAGAAAAAAGCGAATTAAACGATCTGGAATGAGAGCAGCAGTTCAGAAGAAAGAAGCAATTCAAAGTAAGACAAGATATATTCAAAATAAAACAGGAATTCGAAACAAAGCAGGAGATCAAAGCAAAACAAGAGTTCAGAGCAAAATAGAAGTTCAAAGTAAAGAAAGAACACAAAGCAAAAAGAAGAATTCGAAATGAAACACAAATTCAGAGCAAAACAGCAGGAAAAAGTAATCCTCAAAAGAAAAATGCTTGAGAAATTCAAATCAGCATTTATAATTGCTTATGATTCATGTGCCCTCTTTATTAATTTTTTCTGAAAAACGGAAATTTTCCGAACATATAATTTAGTTTGAAATTGCTTCATTCAAATTACTGGTATGAATGAACAAATTTCCAAAATGTGACTGATTTCAATGTTTTATATTTCTGTTTTTAATAAATTTCTTAGTTAAATTTCTTTTGCACTGATTTGTTTTGAGACTGTTATGCTCTTTGCTAATACAATTATTTCTGTTTGACATTATGCAGTGAAACCTAAAGCGGACTTAATTATGTCAATAAATGGTTTATTATTTTGAATGATAACATGGTTGATATGTGCAACTTTGTTTAAATGATGGTATGTTTTCCTGACATTTTGCATATCATGAGCATTATTTTTAGCTAGCAGGATGAGACTCTAGCCTTTAGTAATAATTGTTTCAATAGATTTTCTTCTCAAAACAAATGTTTCCCTTCTTCAGAGGCCAGATTTTATGAATATTAGGAGTATATGATGAACTTTTGCCTGGAAGTTCGTGCACATTTTATTAGCTGTACTATTAGCTTTTTTTTTTTACGTTTTTTAAAAGTTTTCAAAAGTGTTTATGGTTTTCACAAATAAGTTAATTTTTCACTCCCTTCTGCATTTACGTACGGCATGGTAAATACCTTTCTTCATTTACGTAAGGTCTTTATTGATGTAAATATACATACATCTCCATGCAATAACAGCTAGATAGTAAGCAATTTTAAACATTCCCTGGTTTTTTTTCTTTCCCTGTTTATTCTTTTATAAATAAAATATCGTTTTTCACTGATATCTTTCACAGCAACTTTTTTGGGCAAGGAAATTTTAGCAAACTTGACAACTGCTAATGAGGAGATTTATGTTTCCTTTTTGTGTATTTTGCTACTTCTATTCTTTAAGATAAATAATCCGTCCGTTTCCGGAATCTCTATAAAGGTCAACAATAAAGATCACGTGTATAAAAAATATAAGTGCGAGCAGCAAAAAGGGAAGAAAATAAGTGAGCAGAAAATGCACCGAAAAGACAGAAAAATTGAACTAAGAAGCACATGCCGCGTTTTTGTGTGAACCTGAAATGATGCGCTGTATATAGAAAATATGAGAAATACTGGAAATCAAGTGGTAAAGGACGAATATAACAAAAGGGCCAGATGGGAAATTTTACTGAGGCTAATAAACCTATATCCTTGAAGATAGCTCACCTAAAAAAACGAAATAGTGTCAAGTGGCGCTTAACAAGAGGGAAATGAGGAAAGTCTTATAGCATTAACAACAAGTAATAGCATTAGAGAAAGTGAAGCAATAAGCTGAAGAGGACAATACATCTAAGGAAGCACTCCGAAGAGACTCTTCATGAATGACATCAAAGCCAAATTAAGCACTCGCATATTGTAAGCAGCAGATTACTCCTACTTTGTATTGGACAATGATTAAGCTTTTATTCACAGATACGAAGTGTTCAGCAAAGAAATGAATTGACGTCACATCTAAATATAGTATCTGAGCGGGTCCGTTGCCATAATCGCGAAAATAATTCAGTCATAAGTATACGGGGTAGATAGAATTTGATGCTATTAATCTACTTTAAATGTCTTTACCAAATTTTTTAATCACAAACTTATGGATTTAGAGTATGAAAAACTTTGAATATATGATAAATATCAATAATTCTTAATTTTCAGCAGAGTTGCTCAAGTCTCTATTTACTACTGCCTTTCAAATACTGCGGTCCTGAGTGACTATGAGCTCTCTGCAATTAAGAAGTTAATTAAGCGTATTACTACAGATAAAGAAGTACAACACATAGACACAGTGTGAAAATATGGCAGTAGATCTTATCACTTATTCTTTTAAAATTCTATCATTTAACACTGAAGACAGAATGAATAACAATACATATTTGCTATACTAACAAAAATGGAGAAGCTGATGGTTTGCAGTACTGATCAAGTTTCACACAACTATCACATAATTTCAAAAAGACATTTCCAAACTAATACCAAAAGTAAAACTTTATGTTTTGACACTTCGTATTCAAAAACATTTATTACTCGCGAACAACAATCTTACAAAATATTGAAAAGCGAGTAACAGCGCCGAATGAATATATGGAAAAAATTTTCCATAAAAGAAATTATTCCATACGAAAACCGTAAGCTTCGACAAACTGTATAGCGAAATCTTCGCTCTCACCAGCTAACGGTTCGTTCTGAAACGTTTCACAGGCTTGTGTACAACCGTGATTCAAATCCGCATCCAACCATAGCCCATAATGACCACCACTGGCACCAATCGATAGTGAATCCATGCTTGCTTTCACGAAGAATTGATTTAAACCACTCCATGAATAAATACGAAGCACTCTGTATGATTACAAAATTTTAATATAACAGAAAATGTGGGAGAGTTGTAGAAAATTCTCAAGAATTCGAAATCTCATAATATTGATAATAAGTGTTGTGTATCAATAGAAACTGCATTTAATAATTTAATTTTTTTAGCCCACATACATGACTCTTAACATAAACATTGTCCATAGATAATTATCTATCTTATATGTCATAACTTCTGCCACATGATTAGTGGTATGACATGTAAGGTAATCCTTTTAAGGTAAAAAAAAAACGACGTAAGTAACAAAGTTTCGAAGAAAACTGGATGTTACTTTTTGTTCAACTCGAGGTCGTTCACATATTTGTAAAGGAAACATGAATCACCGGTCCCAAAAAAGTGTTCGCATGGACGCACTGTAGTACTAACTACTGCACCGAAAACATTCTTCTCACAATCACGAATTATCAACAGTATGGGTGACATTTCTTCGTCCCAGTCGATCATTTTCCTGAAAAAAATAATGTTGCGTCAACTATTCTAGTTGTGTTGAATTCCTTATCTCCAGAAATAAACTACACTAAGTAAATCTAAAAGATAATAATATTCGAAATATTCCGTTGTCCAGTTCCGAAAAGACAGTTTCTCAAATAGAGTTGGAATTTAATTTATTTCAAAAAGAAATGGATGAGACTCTCTGTAACTAACTGAATTTACAGCCAAAATATGAAAAAGCAAATAGCCTTGAATACCGGACCTATAAAAAGTATGTAATGAAAAGCCATGCTTTTCAGAATTATAAATGTTGATCCATGGATAGCCTGCAGCACGGGCCGGAAGCACGTCTACCATCTGCAAACAACTTATCTCATTTCAAACCTAATTTATATCCAAAAGGAGACTTCTAATACAATGTCTCACATTTCTAAAATAAAACATAGCTCAGGGCAAAAACAAGCGCAATACCAACCTGCCTAATCATAGCTTCATCAAGAATTTGCGAGAAAGTGGCACCATCCGGAAGAGGCAGGACAACTTTGTCCAGCTGGTCTAACGACATCCGTTGGCACATCTCTTGCACTGTCACAATCTCCCATTCCCGATTCAGATATGTGCTACCGAACACTCGAGAAGGTGGCGCCTCGGCTATAATTTTTTGATGAGACTATTAAAGACCTGAGACTACTGATGTATTAAAAGTTGAGCGGTGAAAATTAAGAAAAAAAAAAAAAACTCCATTTATCTTTTTTAATCAAGGCAAAAATGATAAACAGCTGATTGAAAAAGTACAGGTTAATGCAATCTGAAAAAGAACATGAGGTAGCACTAGCAAAATGTGCTTAACAAATTCTACACATGTTTACATTAGAATAAATCCACGCTAAGCCGTCTAATCGTTGAAGATGTGTACAATGTAGAATTATATTATGAAGAAAACTATCGCCTTCATAGCATAACAGCAGCAGCTGAATTCAATAAAATAGGTATTCTACCAAGATCTTGATTCATAAATTTACTGACAACATCACGAAAACAATAATAATCATACAAGAGTTTTTAAAACAGCTTTCAGAATCTACGGCAATAACTTATATTGCATGAACAGCATTCGCAAAAGTTGAAAAATAATTTTCTGCTGATGAGGCCGATTTTCATCAAAAAATGCAAAATATAAAAAATACAAACCAGAAAGGAAAAACTTTTCCAAATGTATTCCAATAAATAAACGTAAATATAAAACTGAAAATGTAAACATTGTGCAGAATATGTAAGTATCAAATATAAGAAAAAAACAGTAAAGAAAATGTGCTTAGTTTCTGTTTTTGATTGAAAAGATGGATTTATAAGAAAAAAAGAGGTCAAAGTTACTACTCCAGTTTAATATTCTAAATTTTATACTGATGAATTAAAATCAGCATTCCAAGGATATTATAAATTCATAGAAAAGGAAAAAGAAGCTAGAGAAATGTGAAGTAGATTAGTAAAATTAAAAAAAAAAAAAAAACATTTCGACCATTTGGAAATGTAAATTATTACTTGTGGTCTAATCTGTTGAAGAATAAGAAACAAAATAACTCATGTTTTTTAGAAATCCCAAATTCCATGTCGAGTGGAATACTCACTTTAATGGCAGAAAAGAAACAAAATCAAAACAGTATTATGGATGAAAAACAATCTACAGTAAAAACTCTAAAAATTATTCTTTTTAATCTATCAATGGCTGGAACAGTTATAATTTGGATTATTTCATATCAGTAGGTTTCAAAATTCTCAAATTTTCGGGAGTTATCACTTAAAATCATTTAAAACATTCTAATGAGAGTGTTATAAAAAAACTTAGGTTTCCAATGTATTTCTTTTCTGAAGCTGTATTTACTTATCCAACAAAATTCCAGAGACTTCATCTGCTAATATACAACATACGGAAAATAATTTCAGCCTTGCGAGAAAGTTTTGTCATGAAGCACCCAAAAAAGGATAAAACGATAGGAGAAAAGAATTTTAAATGCCAACCATTTCAATCAAAAAATATATATGGTATAAAAAAAAAATTCTGAAGTCCAACTCTTACAAA